CAATCAATAACAGAATATCAGAAATAGACAATACTCTGAAAGGGCAAAGGAGTAGAATAGATGAGATGGAAGGCAGAGCCAGTGAACAGGAAGACAAATCACTCAAAACCACTAAGATAGAACAAACAGAAAAAAGGATAAAAAGTTCTGAAGAAGCTCTAAGAATAATGTTGGACAATGTGAAGGGGAATAACTTAAGAATTATCGGGGAAAAAAAGAATTATCGGCATTCCAGAACAAGAAGAATCACACAAGTCCACAGAGGAAATAATTGAAGAACCACTGGAAGAAAATTTCTCTAACATCCTGAAAAATGAAAAGATAAACATTCAAGAAGCTCAAAGAATTCCAGGAAGGATAGAGCCCAAAAGAAAATCACCAAGACATATCATTGTCAAGCTCTCCAAAATTAAAGATAAGGAGACACTTCTGAAAGCAGCCAGGGAAATTAGAAGTGTCACATACAAAGACAAGCAAGTCAGATTAAGCTCGGATCTCTCATCAGAAACCATGCAAGCAAGAAGGCAATGGGGAGACATCTATAAAACCCTGACAGAAAAAAATTGCCAACCAAGAATCCTTTATCCAGAAAAGCTGTCAATCAAATATGACGGTGTAATCAAAACATTCCAGGATAAATAGAAGCTAAGAGATTTTGCCAAAGCCAACCCTGCTATGAAAAACATACTCCAGGGAGTTCTGTGGACTGAGAACCAACGTAGAACAGACAACAACCAGAGACTGACATACGTGACAGCACCTCCCAGAATTAAGTCAACAGAAGGAAGAGTTGAGAACAGAACAAAACTATAAGAACAAACTCAGAAAATCTGGGAGGTCAGTCTATGATCAAAACAAGTACAATGTAAAATAAGGTAAACATGTAGCAACAGAGATCCAGATAGTGAGGAGGTCAGGTCGATTACAGGATAAAATACACTGCACTAAATGGAGAGAAAAGTTAATGAACTATAAGGCAACCTCAAAGAAAATAAACACTCCACAACATACCAAGAGAATGAAAACCCAAGAAGAACATGGAAACATTAAAACTATGAGGAAACTCACAAGACGGAACACAAAAAGCATGAACTCAACAAAGGAAGACACACAGAACAAAGCAGCAACACCACACACAAAAACATAATGGCAGCAATTAATCAATACCTATTGATAATTGCACTGAATGTAAATGGATTAAATGCACCTGTTAAGAGATGTAGGGTGGCAGAATGGATAAGA